ACAGAGTAGATTTTTTTCTTCAAGTGAATGCAATACGCTTCCGTAGTTTCCAATGCAATGACGTTAGCCAATCATAACAGAGGCCATTTACTGACAAGCCTTAAAGGAGCCACGCCTTAAAACAGATCATTTCAGTCAGAGGGTCAGAATGAAGGTTGAAAATAATCATTTTTTGCATTTACATTTTTTTTTTGTGCAAAAAACTTTTTCAGCGTTGTAAGTGAATCTCAAATAACATTAAAATACTAAAATAAATCAGAGACAAAAGGAAAAAAGGTCCAGATTGTCAGTGGTTTCAGACACTTAAACAATAATAATAAACTCATTAATTAATAAATAGCCTACATTCTAATTAGTTCTGAAATGATATATACAGATTGAAGAATTTTCCATTGATTTGAAAGAAGAAGAAAAGCACTCCAGACATAAAGCATGCTGTGATTTCGATTGAGCGAGAAAAGTCGAAAATCCTAAAGGTATTCTTAAATGGGCTCATGTGTCCCTGTGGCAATGAAACCTTGACATTCCCAAAATGTATTTTAAGGAAAAATGCATATCTCCCCACTTAGCAAATCTGAGTCACTATCTCAATGTGTGTGTGTGTAAGTAGGCCTTGAGGGGGCCCGCAGTAATGAGCAAAGCAGGTGGATCATTTAAAATGTGTTTCACAGCTATCTCAGATCTGCAGAGGGACTGTGGTGCACATGCACGTGGAGATCAATTACTCAAAGCATTGCAGTATCATCTAAATAACTGTGTGAGAATGTACATTTCCTCTCTGCTGATGTATAAACAGACCCTGACTGTTTGACTCAATGTTTGATGGTGCCCCAAAAGATTTCCAGGGTGTCTATGCAAATAATTCAATCAATGTGTTTGTTTCTTAAAAGACAGTTCCAATTTGAGAAGGCATGGTAATGTTTTCTAATGTTTGAGAGCTGTGGTTTCAACTGCCTTCAGTGTTTTATCCTTGTTTAGACGTTTGTTATTTTGATTAGAGAGGCTTTACGTGACAATTGATTTGTATATTCCCTCATTTCCTACATTCCCTGAATACGATTATCTTTGATGATTGATATTTGTCCTATTGCAAGCATGCTTTCAGAAGAAGTGCTGTCATATTGATGTTTAGAGAAGTGAAATGCACAATAAACACACCTGCCCGCAGGACTCGTCCTCACCCTTTCTGACACAAGTACGATGGCCAGAAATAAATGAACCCCGCTGCAAAAAGTAACAAGGAAGAACATAGTGTCAGGAGTCAGGATACAAGTGTTTATTAGGCTTAATTGTTTTTTCCCTGTTTTATTTCATTGCTGAATTATAGCACTAACCCTGTGAGACAGATTAGAAACATGCAAAGTTTAACACTGAAATGTTTCACAATCCGTGATGGAGGACTTTTCAAGCTCTAGATCTGACTGTATCCATTAACTATTTTGTAATATTCTGAAACAATGACAGCCTTTTTCAAAAATGACTTACAATGGCACATCATTAGTGCACAGATGTCTTTTTTTTTTTGATCATGTCGCTTAAAAAGCTTAGAATGTATGTTTTATAATACTATTTTATTTTACAGCCATGGTCACAAACTGCTGTTATATGGAAAAGAGGTGCAAAAAGATTCTATAGTGTGCATTTGGAATATATGGACTGATTTTACTTTTTATAAGTGTAATTTATTTATTTTGACAGCCATGGTCACAAACTGTGATTCTGTTAAAAAAAAGAAGCTTATTTTATTATATACAGTAGACCTTACCCTCATTTCGTATGCTTTTATTTTTGTGAGTAAATAATGACATCAGTTTCATTTAGGTTTAACTATGCCTTTAAGTAAGAAAAAAAAAACTATTAACAATTAAACTAACCACTAGATGGCAATGATAATAACCCAGTGTTATTTCTTGTTGCATTATTATTTTTCAGTCTACATTTTTGATGAATTCCTGTGCTGAAGATCAACTAACAGCATTATGACAGCATGCACATACAGTAAGTCCAGCCCGTTTGAGTCAGTACAGTAAGCACGAGTCCCAAAGGTAAATCGGATCTCCACCTGTACGCTCCTCTTGAGCTCTACATTGCTCTGACAGCATGCAGCACTAAAACACAGACCTTTTCGGGGTCATACAAGTTGTAATAATGGACGTGACTCTGGCTGTATGCAGTAATTGAAGCCGCTGGTATTGTAATAGAACAGCGGAGCTTGTGTTATATGGTGATCGATGGCTAGAGCCCATGCGGGGAGTCATCACACACCTGCTGCTGCCTCCAGAGATGGACTTGGGGCTCTGGTAAGAACATCAGCCTGGATGAAGGAGTCAGCCAAATGCATAAAGAAAGTCAGTACCAATCTCTAAAGACTGACTGCAACGCTCCGGCCATAAGAATCCATTCAACTCGAAGGCTGTGCATTACTGGAGCAGCTCTTGAGGATTTGTGTGAAAATGACACACACAGGTAGCCTGGTTAAAACCAGACCATTCTCAGTTGTAACTGAGTTATGGTCTGGCAAAGCGTCATAGACAAATCATTTCCAGAGGGGCGTCACCAACGGACGTCGCGGATAGACCTAAAACCAATCAGAGCGATGAAGGAGATGACGTATGCAGAGCGGCCGAGTGTTGTTCTTTGCTCGGTTTTTAACAAAAAGGAAACGTTCAAATCGCTTAAAACAGACGCGATAGCTGATTTGAACGAATGATGTTCGACGGCGGCATCCATCTTTGTAATGTAGGCTACAAAATCTGCTTCAAAATCCCAGTGCTGTCGTCATCGTGTAAAGCCCGCCCCAACGTTTCTGATTGGTGCCTCGATTTCGACGGATTAGAAAAGAGTTTGAATGAGCTCTTTGCCAGACTAACTTTCAGAGCAAATCTAAATTTGCCGGAAGTTGTCTGGGTTTTCCCAGGCTAACACACAGGTGAAGTTATACAGGACCAAACCCAGGGGCGGTTTCTTCATTAGGGCGATAGGGCGACGCACCACCACCAAAGTGCGAAAGTGACTTTTCAATCACATTCGCATTCAACCATAGACGGTAGCATTCAATGATTCAACCACAGAGTTACGCCAGCCGTCACTGTTGTTCTGCCTCTGGATAAAGTCCAATCAGCGGCAAGTCACGGTCTGTGGAGTACCGCCTCTTTTTGGGCGATTTCACTCTGGCCGATAATCGCCAAAGATATATTTTTTTTCCCGAACTGCTAGGCTCCTATAGGCTATCATATATATATATTTTTTCAATTATACAACTAGGCAAAACCATTCCTGAAAAAATAATACAAATACAGAATTTAATAAGTGCTTTAAATAAATAGTATAAACTATTAAATAAAATAAACTGCAAAAAAAAAAAAAACTAGGGTTCTAGAAAAGCAGTCCTGAAACTGCAGCCTCCAGTAGCCTAGGCTATTGCAGGAATAGGCCTACCCTACTCGTGGCAAAAAGAGTCCAGTATTGACAATCAGTCCACACCAAAGTCACTTTCAAAACAAGCTGCTGTCTGTTAGTCAACGCAGCAAATTCGCCTGACTAACTGACGAACATGATGAACATGCGTGGAATATTTTTTCGCCCAAAATCAAAACTCCTAATGCCGCTGATTCCTACTGGACTGAACGGAATTACCCCACGAAATTTCTCCGAGCCACGGTAAATGTGACCGTACCTTAAAGGTGGGGTATGTGATTTGGAAAACGACCGGCAGATTTTGAAAATATACAATTCAAATGGTCCTACCTTCTTTCCTCCAACGCCGGCTCTGACTCCACCCATTCGAAGAACATGGACGCGCAATCATGCACGAGCGAAAACTCAGATGCGCGAGAGATTGTAATGACGATTTACTACTAATCATGGAACCGGCTTTACTGACGAGATGCGTCACAAACTTTGAGTGTGCGCACGACGGGGGTCACGCGCGCTGGGGGGAGGGGGGTGTGGTACAACCGCTTGATTGACGGACTTACTGTCCAATGATTCTGGTGGTCTTGGAAATGATTGGCTGGAGTTTTTCCGAGTCCTGCCCATTCCACAGATGATTAAATTGCTTAATTTTCATTTCAGTGCTTCTAACTCAGTGGCTGTAAGTGGGTTAGGAATAGGATTTCAAGTTATTTTGAAAAAATGTACAAAAAAGAGAATCACATACCCCACCTTTAACCGGGACCTCTTAGGACACATAGACCACGTGTAAGTCTATCACAGGGTTAAAACCTGCCCGACAGACTGAGACTAGCTTCCCATACCACAATATGCTCTCTATAATTACATCCACCGAGGGCCATTAGAGACGTATTTTACACACCTCAATCGAGAGGTAAACGTTCAGGATGGCTCACCCCTGCTAGCTTTTTCTCTTCTCTAATTCGGAGTATCTGCTCCGCTCATCTATTATTCAAACACCATCATGCGTTCGCTCCTATCATGGCGGCTTTCTGTTTGTAAGTGACTGCAGTTTGAGGGTCCCGTCGAGAGCCTTTAAAAACAAAAGGGAAATGGCTAAAACAAATGTGGGCCCTTAGTAAGGGACTGCTGCTGGGAAGCAAATTCAATGCTACACTCATTTCAAAATGTAGCCTACTAATGTGTACCATTTGGTAACACTTGAGGTAGGCTAATAAAGGTAGCCTACCTTTAAGTTTTTTTATTTACTTTTTAAATCACAGAGTAATCAGAAAGACCAGTGAAGTTAAAGACAAGCATTTATATAGGCCTATCTTGTATTTGTTTACATATTTTTAATTTCTATTTCAATAAATACGCATATTAAAGTCACTCAAACAAAGTTCAAAAGAAAGACTTAAAAAGAACATTTTTAATAAATAAAAATTATAACTTAACACATAAATATTGTTGTGATAAACTACCTGCGTTTGCTCAAAATAATTTCAAGGTGCAATATGTCACTTAGCCTATTTAAAATATGAATGTGGTTGTCAGGCCAAACCCTTTAAAACATTTGCTTTTAACAGCGAAGCTGTTTTTATCCACAAACATTTTTTTGAACTTTTGCCGATTTGCCATTCTCTCATCTTGCACACAGGGACAAGTGCCACGGCTTTGTCCTAATAAGGCCTCATTTACAACAAACAACGACCGTCTGGATGAGCAAAAGGGGTCTGATTGTAACCCACAACAAATTAGAATATAAAAAGTGTCCCGAGTGCCAGGAGGTGTAACACGGTGAGAAGTCTGCAGATGTCGTGGTGTCGTCGTGCCATGCCAGCTTTGAAGAGGAGCGTGAGAAAGGAGGGAGAGCCGGCATCTCTCTTCCCGGCCCACAGTGCAGTTAATCCCACTTTATCCAAGAGAGCCGAGCTGTCAGATCTGGAGTTGGAGAACACAAAAGCAGAGCAAACATGAGGCTTTAGATACATTTTAAAGACCATTTAACAAGTCGCTGGTCTAAGGCTAACAAAGGCACACTTATTCATTAAAACCCTCCCCCTTGAAGAGCTGGAACCCTGGGATGTGGTTAACTAAAGTACACAGCTCCCTTTCAGCTCAGTGAAAATACTTGTGTCTCAGAAAAGGAAGTTTTTGAAAACAGACAGCTGGGAATAAACTGCACAGTCAATATAAACAATGGGAACTGTTTAATCATGTAAAACAACGCCTGTTGGAGTGACATAAGCCTTTTTGAGGATGTATTTGCATATGCACTCCTAATAAACAAGTCATTTACCTCATATGCCCCACAAACAGGAGGAGGGAAACAATGTGTGGATGTTGCTAAATATCCAGTCTGTTCCTAATACTTTAAAATGCTGGTTTAAATGAATAAAATTGCTGCAATGACTGCACAAATGTTTGATCCAATTTTCCTGTCATGTTTTAAAAGGGATCAAAGATGTTTTTCCAAACCAATGAGGGACTGAATTATTTAGTTAATGTTTATTTTTGTTTTATGGATGCTGGAAAGTATTTGATTTGCACTGCAAAATGAACAAATGTGCATTTTACTGGAGCCCTAAAACGTATTTTAGTCAAACCCACCAGTAATGTAATTTTGACCATCTACCCATCCATCCATCCATCCATATATCTATCTATCTTATCTATCTGTCTGTCGTGTATCTGATTAATAAATTATGATTTAAATTATGATTCATGTTTGATAGGAGTCATTCTGGTCGCGTGGTGTATATATATATAACATTTGAGTGAAAAGTTTAATTTAAAAATTAATATAAATTTAAATGTTTTATTTAAATTAAATACATTTGATATATATTTCATGAACTCAAACTGTCTTCTTACCACTTGTGTTCCAGATGGCATTGGTCTGGTTCTTATAGCCGTTCTTCATGCATTCATCCACATATGACTTGGGGTCACAGCCTGACATGAGGATTTCTCTGAGCAGGGCGATGTAAGCAATGGCCAGTCTTAATGTGTCTATTTTGGAGAGCCGTTTCTCGTAGGGGAACGTGGGCACATGGCAGCGCAGCTCCTCAAATCCAGAATTGATGCTGAGCATCCTCTTCCTCTCCCGGATGTTGGCGGCGTGGCGCTGCACCTTGTACGGATGATGGGACGTCAAGCGCCGCTGTCTGTGATTGCTGATCTCATGGGGATCGTCGACTGAGGAGCTGTCCACTTCAGCACCGACCTCCAGCTGCGGAGACTGCGAGTCTAAGTCCGTGAAGGTCAGCTGAGCCTCTGGGAACACGGACTGGCACCCGAAAGAGGACCAGGGGGACAGCTGACCTGTCATTGCGCTGCAGTCAAAGAGCAGCGTGTCCATCTGAGACTGGAACTGAGAGTTAGGGTCCATTTGGCCCCAGAAGGGAAAGTCTGTGGCAGCATCTTGATCAAAATCAAAAAATACGTCTTCCATTTCCCCCCCTTTTTTCTGTCAGATGTCACTAAAACAGCGTGTATGAGATTAGAGGAGAGCTTCACCTACCGTGCGTAAACTGGGTAGCCCTGTGCGTAATGGCCATTAAATAGCTCCAGGTCTCGCCGCAGGGTGCTTGTCTCTATTCAACAGGTTTGAAAAGGAGCTCATTAGGACGCGTGCCTCCTCCTAATAACTCCGCCATTTCAAAAGCACTTCACAGCATCGGTTGATGCTCAGAGCACGTGTCACCGCAATCATAAAGTTATCTTAAGCTGTTTCCTTTTCGGTTCAAGCAGTGGATTCATATTTACTGCACCAACTGACGTTCTGAAGTATTTGCGTCTTGAATTATCATTGAATTAGTCGTCTGGAACATGGGTGGTCAAAGTCCAAGACACCTGTCTTAGCCTTATCTTCATAACAATAATATAATCAATCGCTTATAAGTATTTATTATTATTCTTTTAAGAGATTTATTTCTATTGCAAAAGAAGACATACTGCTTTTTTAACCTTTCGCTTATCATTTTTAAATAAATTTGTCATAGGCTAAATATAAATACGAGAACAAAATATCTGAACAAGAATCTTGACAATTTTACAGTGTGTATTCGCGACCATTTGTCTACTCTAGACCAACACTGGAGCTGTATCTGCTTGTAGCCTAATAAAACTGCATACAGTATGTTCAGAGATAAATGTATTAAAATATCAACCATGCAACCATTTTCTCTTAAATATAAAAAAAAAAAAAAATCAGCATTTTTTTTAAAATTCCTCCCGACGCTCAGATCGGCTCACGTAAAGTTGTATCATTGTTTGCTGTAGTTATATATAGGAAACGCATATTTAAATGTAAATATTTTTTTATATTTTACATATTTAAATATTTTATTTAAAGATAAAGATGAACATTTTATCATTGAGTTGTTTGAGATGTACGAATTGCACATTGCAAGTAGCCTAATTATTTAGAATCATTTTTAAATGACACAACAAAATACAATAAAAAAAATGTTGTTGTTGTTTGCCTTGGAGAAACGAAAGAAAAAAATATTTGTAGTCATGTATTTTTTAATGATGTTGGCTAACTGACACCACGTTTATGAAAAATTACAATAATTTATATATTTAAGCGAGCAGCTTTTGTGTTATCATAACCCGTTTATGAGAGCATACAGACATAGTATTAGAGAATTAAATAAAAAAAAAATTTCTTCGTTTTATTTTTAATGTATCTTAATAGAGAGCATTACAGTTCTGCTCTTTTTTTAGATGGGAAAATTAGTGAAGCACTTTATAATACAAAAGCACTTTATTTTTATTTGTTATTAACATCTATTGTATAATGCTTTTTGTCCGGAACTAAACCATAGAAAATGTATTTATATTTATAAAGGAATGGTGCGTTTTAACCTGAAGTGGATCCTGAGGAAAGGCTTGTCAGAACCTTCTGCTCTGCAGACAGCAGGGATCCTAAACCTGAAGAATACTGCTGTCAGATGCAGAGATCAGCCATTCTCCACATCACAACAAAACACTCAACTATTGGAAGGACCATAGAGACCTTCAGAGACCATGTACATCTACAATTCTTTGTGCAAAATTGAAATGGCCCATCTAGAATGAAATCTGTGCGGATTTAATCCAAGACACTGCTCATGCGGCCCTTGAATCCAATGCACCAAACCGTCTGCTTAGTCTGTCGTCTTGGAAGTTGTTTGCAGGATAATAAGATGTAATTTAAAAAATATATATATAATTAAAACCACAACGTGCGTTCCTTCACACCTGTTTTTCCACCTGTACTGATCCATATCCACAGGCTTGTGTTTTATGAATACTCGTCTTGTCGTAAATAATATGAGTGGACCGCAGGGTGGGCATGCAGAAGAGTGGTAAAAAGCACATTTAATTTCATCAAATAGACTAGTAGTGAAAATTGATTGTTACAGATGAACACAAAGAACATGTTAAGACGGACCTTTAGGAGCTCTGAGGTTAAGTGATGTAAAAACTAAAAAGTTTAAAAAAGTAATAATAATAACGGTTTATTAAACTACACTGAAGAAAAAACTACGCCACCCCCCTTAAGCAAATGCATAAAGCCTGTCATACACATTTAGGCTATATGTTTAGTGTTTAATTTAGTCTTTTTGCCATCAGCAGTAGTAAATGTTGTGGGGGGTGCTGGATGGCAGAGGCAGGCTAAATACACATAAATTGCACAGATATCAACATAAATAAATACATAATATCCAATAAAAAGAAACATTAAAAACATTAAAAATGGCATATTTTTATGAATGAAGGCCAGTATCACTGATACTAATACAGATACTGATGACACTTCAATGAAAAATGAGGCTTAAAAAAAATAACAACTTTTAATTTAAGTGAACTTAAAAGCAATCCTCACATAAACCCATTATAATAAATGTCATATTTACCTGTGCCCTTCCTAACATTGATCAGCGAACATAAACAGAAGCTCATTGGTTCAAACTTGCTGCATAACACGATTGGTTCTCGCACGTCAAGCGAACATGCTTGAGCTTCCATTTACCATAACTGATGTGTGAGTTGATGAATGTTTATATTTGAATAAAATGTATCCTGTGCATTTTCCCCTTCACAGAAAAGTATAATCCGACAACCCGTTCTCACTGCCAAGGCGTCAGTCGCTGTGTTTGGGTTATTGCAAAGTTGTGGTAATCTTTCCAGATAACTAGAGAGTATCACAAACAACTTTTTTGTGTTGAAATAATGGTGTTTGTTCCACTGCAGTAACTGCAGATAAGAGCTCTAATAGCTTCAGTCACATCTCAGACATGCTCTGCTGTGTTTAAAGAGCATGAGACAGTGATAGTTCAGCGCTGTTTACTTCTACACACTTGGAGCACAATCAGTTTTATCAGGGTGATTATATACTTTGAACTCTCCTCTAGGAGTAACTGGGGTCACAGTCAACTTAGACTAGTGCAATGCATTTGTTTACTCTTACTGTTTTTTTTTTTCTCATTGCATTGCTTTGCAAAGGTCACAATACTCTTGCTAATAAGCCATACTGTTTGGTTATTCAAGCGAGTTACACAGACCAGAACAACTGAACGTGCATACACAAATCTCTGGTCTGGTGAACACTTAGATTGGGCTTGAGGAAACAAACAGAATTAACTGTTGTCCAGGCTACACACAGAATGACGTCAGTTTTAAAGCAACACTAAGTAAGATTTTTTTACCTTAAAATAATGTTTTCAAAATCGTTTCAGTGGTTCATCAAGTCGTGACATGGTGAAATGCACTTATGCCACCGCTTTGCGGTCCTTTATATGATATATCCACGCTATGTAAGATTGCCAGATCGGGTCGCGTTTCTGTAGTCCGAATGAGAAATAAGAAAACTACAAATTTGACTTGTTTTATGGCAAGCATTACAATTCCCGATAGGTGGAGCGTACTCGACAGTTGACTACAACTACATGTAAGATACCTAGCAGCCGGGTAGCTTTTGAATTGTCATCATGATTCCAAAGCCGGTGCTGGATAAACAGAGAGCGTGCGTGCGCGTGCGACAGTAGGATGCGGTAGGCTAAATTATTTACGACAGCAGTAATGGACAATTCCGCGTCCAACCTGTAGGGCGACCGCAGAGGGAAAGTTACTTTGTGTTGCTTTAAATAGTGCTTAGATAGTGCTACAGATTCAACATGACTGCTCCACGACATAACTGAATCTTACAACATAAACTTGAACTCTGAAGATCAGCTACACTTGAAGGCATCATTATAACCCTGAGATGCCTTGCATTGGTGTACTGCACACTTACTGGCTGCTTTTCCTTCACTATCTGCTCCAACACATCCAATACACGCGAAAAAGGGAGAAATAATGACAATTCAAGTTTTGTATATAAATTAAAATACACAATTTACATTTGTCTACAAACGATTTAAGCAAAAGTCTTTAGATCAACAGGTTTTTACGATCTTGACAAACAAACTCAGTGAAGTGTCTAAACTTTTGACTCGCATTGTGGTTTCTTTAAACACTGTTTGGTCTTTGTGTTGCACTTGTTGGAATTAATTCTGTCTCATCACATTAGCAATGCAAACTAGCTGATTGTCCAAGTCATTTGTTTGTGCCGCATATGTGTGTTTGGCCTGTTGGATCAGCGCCTTGATCTGGCCAAATAAACACAATGTCTAAACAATCAGTGCGCCTCCTCACATTCCAGGTGCACATTTCACTTAGTAATTGGGTTCAGAGAGAGGAAACAACATCCTTGTTTAACAGTCTAGAGAACCTTAATATTCAAGGCATGCTTTCAGGTTTGGTTTAATATAATCAGAGCATGTTGGAAGCCTGTGAGATGCTCTTCAGTTTCATTTCAGCGGTCGAGAAGTAACGGACTGGTTGATGCATTGGAAATTGTTCTTTTATAAGCATCATACAGAATAATCATGCTAAGACATGCTTCTGTCCATCCTGTGCAGAGTTGGGGAATGTTACTGTACGTTCAAAAGTAATGCATCACGATATTGCCTTATAAAAGGCAACTAATCAGGCTACAGTTGGAAATTAATTTACAATAGAAGTATCGTTTTCTCCAGTAGACAAGTTTGCATGCAATGACATACACTACCTTTCAAAAGTCTTGGGTCAGTAAGATTCTTTTTTAAATAACTTAAATTATATGCAGAAAGGATGCATTAAATTGATCAAAAGTGACAATAAACACATTTCTATTGTTTCAAAAGATTTGTATTTTAAATAAATGCTGTTGGTCACGGTTTCCACAAAAATATTTAGCAGCACAACCAGCGTTTTAACTGTGATAATAAGAAATGCTGGTGACACTTTACTATAAGGTTCATCAGTTAACATTAGTTAACCACATGAACAATACTTCTACAGCATTTATTAATCTTAGTTAATATTAATTTCAACATTTACTAATACATTCTTAAAATCAAAGGTTGTATTTGGTAATATTTAGTTAATGCACTGTGAACTAACAAATAAACAATGAA